CTGTGTGTTCCTGCCGTTAAAGGAACCGGTACCGGGGATTGGGGGATCTGTGTGTTCCTGCCGTTAAAGGAACCGGTACCGGGGATTGGGGGATCGGTGCTGTTCCTGCCGTTAAAGGAGCCGGTACCGGGGATTGGGGGATCGGTGCTGTTGCCGCCGTTAAAGGAGCCGGTACCGGAGGCTGAGGCTGTGTCTTCCCCGCTGTTCCCGCCGTTAGGGGAGCCACTAGGGAGGGCGGAAGGCTCCGTGCCGCTCCCGCCGTTAAAAGAGCCGGTACCGGGGCAGCTGCCACGTGTGTTCGCCGGCAGCAAAAGCGAGCGCGGCGTCACGGACAGGATTCGAACCTGTGCGGGGAAACCCCATTGGATTTCGAGTCCAACGCCTTAACCACTCGGCCACCGTGACTCTGGCGCCTCCGTCCGCCGCGCTCCGCATAGACCCGGGCCCGCCGCCGCTCCCGGCCCGCCCCCGCCCGGTGCCCGGTGCCCGGTGCCCGGTGCTCGGTGCCCGGTGCTCGGTGCCCGGCTTGGTCTCGGTGCCCGGCTTGGTGCTCAATGCCCGGTGCTCGGTGCTCGGTGCTCGGTGCCCGGCTTGGTCTCGGTGCCCAGCTTGGTGCTCAATGCCCGGTGCTCAGTGCTCGGTGCCCGGTGCCTGGCTTGGTGCTTAGTGCCCGGTGCCCGGTGCCTAGTGCCCGGTACCCGGTGCCCGGTGCCCGGCTTGGTGCCTAGTGCCCGGTGCTCAGTGCCCGGTTGTTGGTGCCCGGTGCTCGCTGCCCAGTGCTCGGTGCTCCGCTTGGTACTTAGCGCCCGGTGCTCAGTGGCCGGCTTGGTGCTCGGTGCCTGGTGCTCAATGCCCGGTGCCTGGCTTGGTGCTTAGTGCCCGGTGCCTGGTGCTCGGTGCCCGGTGCTCGGTACCCGGCTTGGTGCTCAGTGCCCGGTGCTCGGAGCCCGGTGCCTGGTGCTCGGTGCCTGATGCTCGGAGCCCGGTGCTCGGTGCCGTCCGGGGGCTCCCTCCGGACGCCCTCCCCCATCCCAGGCTGCTCCAAACCCCGTCCAACCCGGCCTGGAACGCTCCCGGGGCTGTCCCGGGAAATCCATCCCAGCCCTTCCCAGGGCGGAATTTCCTCCCCGAATCCCGTCCGAGCCCGATCTCCTCTCGTTTAAACCCATTTCTCCTTGTCGTGCCTCTCTTGTCGCACCCGCGGGCGGCGGGGCCGGGAACGGCGCCCGGGATCGGAAACAGCGCCCGGCACCGGGAACAGCGCCCGGGACCGGGAACGGCGCCCGAGGGCAGCGGGACCAACAACGGGCGGTGGAGCGGGGGCTCGGGGCCGGAGCAGCGCCCGGGACCGGGAACGGCGCCCGGGACCGGGAACGGCGCCCGGGGGCAGCGGGACCAACAACGGGCGGTGGAGCGGGGGCTCGGGGCCGGGAACGGCGCCCGGGACCGGGAACGGCGCCCGAGGGCAGCGGGACCAGCAGCGGGCGGTGGAGCGGGGGCTCGGGGCCGGGAACGGCGCCCGGGACCGGGAACGGCGCCTGAGGAACAGCGGGAACGGCGGGAACGGGACCAGCAGGAGGCGGTGGCGGGCGCAGCGGGACCGGTGGCGGGCGGTAGAACGGGGGCGGCGGGGCCGGGAATAACGATCGAGGTCGGGAACAACGATCGGGGGTGGCGGTGCGGGAGCGGGACCAGCGACCGGGACCGGAACCACCGGGCGGGAGCGGGACCAGCGACCGGCACCGGCAAGACCGGGCGGGAGAGGCGGAGGCGGCAGTGCCGGAGCGGCACCGCCAGGGGGCGGCAGCGGGGGCGGCGGGAGCGGCAGTGCGGGAACGGGAGGGCACCAAGGCGGGCGGCGGGGATGTAACAGCGACCGGGATCGGGGACAGCGACCGGGAACGGGGACAGCGGGATCGGGGACAGCGGGATCGGGGACAGGGACCGGGATCGGGGACAGGGACCGGGAACGGGGACAGGGACCGGGAACGGGGACAGCGAGCGGCGGGCGCGGCAGTGGCGGCGCGGCGCCGGCAGGGGGCGGCAGCGGCGGGCGCAGGCGGCGGCGCGGCCCGGCCCGCTCAAGATGGCGGTGCGGAAGAAGGACGGCGGCCCCAACGTCAAGTACTACGAGGCCTCGGACACCGTCAGCCAGTTCGACAACGTGCGGCTGTGGCTGGGCAAGAACTACAAGAAGGTAGGTCCGCGGGAACCGCGGGGCCGCCCTCCGGCCCGCCGGGCCCGGCCTGTCACGGCGCCGCCGCCGCCGCCATCGCGCCCCCCCCACCCCGCCCCGCTCCCCTCAGCGGCCGCGGCGGCCGCGCTGAGCCCCGGCCCCGCTGAGCCCCGGCCCCGCAGTACATCCAGGCCGAGCCCCCCACCAACAAGTCGCTGTCGAGCCTGGTGGTGCAGCTGCTGCAGTTCCAGGAGGAGGTGTTCGGGAAGCACGTCAGCAACGCGCCCCTCACCAAGCTGCCGGTGAGAGCCGCGGGGGGACGCGGGGACACCGCGGCCGGGACACGCGGGGAGCGGGGGACGAGGCCCTGAGCAGGGACGGGGCCCCGGAGGTGCGGGCATGGACGCTCGTGGTGCCCGGGTGAAGAGCCCCGGAGAACGGGGGACAAAGCCCAGGCTGGGCAGAACGCCTCAATGAGGTGGGGACAGAGCCCAGGCTGGGGAGAGTGCCTTAAAGATGTGGGGACAGCATCCCTCAGAGCTGGGGACATGGCTCTGGTGAGCAGGGACAGAGCCCAGAGACCTGGGGACGGCACCCCGGTGAGATGGGGAAGAGCCCCGAGGAACAGGGGACAGAGCCCAGGATGGGGAGAACGCCTCAGAAATGTGGGGTCAGCATCCCTCAGAGCTGGGGACATGGCTCTGGTGAGCAGGGACAAGGCTCAGAGCAGGGACAGAGCCCAGAGACCTGGGGACGGCACCCCGGTGAGATGAGGAAGAGTCCCGAAGAAGAGGGCACAAAGCCCAGGTTGGGGAGAGTGCCTTCAAGATGTGGGGACAGCATCCCTCAGAGCGGGGGACATGGCCCTGGTGAGCGGGGACAAGGCTCTGAGCAGGGACAGAGCCCCAAAAGTGCAGGGATGACCCTGGGATGGGGTCCTGGAGGGACCTGGGGGGAGAACCAAAGAAGAGGGGACAAAGCCCAGGTTGGGGAGAACACCTCAGAGATGTGGGGACAGCATCCCTCAGAGCGGGGGACATGGCTCTGGTGAGCGGGGACAGAGCCCAGAGACCTGGGGACGGCTCCCCAGTGAGATGGGGAAGAGCCCCGAGGAACGGGGGACAAAGCCCAGGTTGGGGAGAACGCCTTAAAGATGTGGGGACAGCATCCTTCAGAGCGGGGGACATGGCTCTGGTGAGCGGGGACAGAGCCCAGAGACCTGGGGATGGCACCCCAGTGAGCTGGGGAAGAGCCCCAAAGAAGAGGGCACAAAGCCCAGGTTGGGCAGAACGCCTCAATGAGGTGGGGACAGAGCCCAGGTTGGGGAGAACGCCTCAGAAATGTGGGGACAGCATCCCTCAGAGCTAGGGACATGGCTCTGGTGAGCGGGGACAAGGCTCTGAGCAGGGACAGAGCCCAAAGACCTGGGGACGGCACCCCGGTGAGATGAGGAAGAGTCCCAAAGAATGGGGGACAAAGCCCAGGTTGGGGAGAACGCCTCAGAGATGTGGGGACAGAGCCCAGGTTGGGGAGAGTGCCTTAAAGATGTGGGGACAGCATCCCTCAGAGCGGGGGACATGGCCCTGGTGAGCAGGGACAGAGCCCAGAGACCTGGGGATGGCACCCCGGTGAGCTGGGGAAGAGCCCCGAAGAAGAGGGCACAAAGCCCAGGATGGGGAGAACGCCTCAATGAGGTGGGGACAGAGCCCAGGTTGGAGAGAGTGCCTTAAAGATGTGGAGACAGCATCCCTCAGAGCTGGGGACATGGCCCTGGTGAGCGGGGACAAGGCTCTGAGCAGGGACAGAGCCCCAAAAGTGCAGGGATGACCCTGGGATGGGGTCCTGGAGGAACCCAGGGGGGAGAACCAAAGAAGAGGGGACAGAGCCCAGGTTGGGGAAAGCACCCCAATATCCAGGGAAGGCATCCCAGTACTCAGGATGTCCCCTCAATGCCCAGGGACAGAGCCCTGGTGCCTGGGGACAGGGCCCTGCTGAGCAGGGACAAGACCCTGAGCAGGGACAGAGCCCAAAGCCTCGGGGACAGCACCCCAAAATCGCAGGGACAGAGCCCAAAGACCTGGGGACAGCACCCCAGTGCCCAGGGACAGAGCCCAAAGACCTGGGGACAGCACCCCAAAATCCCAGGGACAGAGCCTTGGGGATTTGGGGACCCAGGGATTTGGGGACCCCAGGGATTTGGGGACCCAGGGATTTTTTGACCCTGATGAGCAGGGACAGTGCCCTCAAGGCCTGGGGACAGACCCCAATGACCCTGGGATGAGGCCCCAGTGCCCCACATGCAGCAACCCAAAAACCTGGGGACAAAGCTGAGTGGGAATGGGGCCCCAGAGCCCCCCAAAAAAGCTCCAAAGAACAGGGGACAAGGCTCTGAGTGGGGACAGCACCCCAATACCCAGGGACAGCATCTGAGTGCTCAGGAACAGAACCCCAGGACTTGGGGACAGCACCCAGGGACAGGGTGACAAGGCCTAAATGGGCACAGCATCCCAAAAATGCAGAAGCAGCACCCCAAACCTTGGGGCAGAGCCCCAGTGAAAAGGGGACAAGGACAATGATGACCAGGGACAGGGTCCTGAGCAGGGACAGTGCCCCAGAGACGGGGACAGCCCTGGGGCCGTGTCCCCAAAGACCTGGGGACACAGCTCTGAGCAGGGACAGCACCCCAATACCTGGGGACACGACCCTGAGCAGGGACAGCACCCAAAGCCTCAGGGACACGGCCCTGGTGACACCGTTCAGCATTTGGTGGCTCGGGGACAGCAGCTGACCATGGACAGCGGCCAGTGACAGTGCCCTGGTCAGGGACATGGCCTGGAGTGCTGGGGACAGTGCCGGGGACCCTGGGACACCATTGTCCCCAAGGGCCAGGGGACACTGCCACAAGGACCCCAGGACAGCCCCAAAGGACCTGGGGACAGTGACCTCACACAGGGACAGGGCCCCAAGGACCAGGGGACAGGGGACACTGACCCAAAGGACCTCGGGACAATGTCCCCACACAGGGACAGGGCCCCAA